AGCAAAAGTCATTATAAACCATTTATGAGATTGAAAACGAAAAAATTAAAAAGTTTTATTTATTTTCTACTTTTTAGTCTTGTCTGTACAAAATTTTGCAATAGATATTAAAATAATTTAACTTGCAGTGAAAAGAAAACAGAAGACAATGCAAAAAAAATGTTGTTTGCTCACGTTTAGTATACATACATACGTTTAGTATATGTACATACATACATATAACGGGTGATTTTTTTGAGGTTAGGATTTTCATGCATTAGTATTTGACAGATCACGTGGGATTTCAGACATGGTGTCAAAGAGAAAGATGCTCAGTATGCTTTGAAATTTCATCATGAATAGACTTACTAACGAGCAACGCTTGCAAATCATTGAATTTTATTACCAAAATCAGTGTTCGGTTCGAAATGTGTTTCGCGCTTTACGTCCGATTTATGGTCTACATAATCGACCAAGTGAGCAAACAATTAATGCGATTGTGACCAAGTTTCGCACTCAGTTTACTTTATTGGACATTAAACCAACCACACGAATGCGTACAGTGCGTACAGAAGAGAATATTGCGTCTGTTTCTGAGAGTGTTGCTGAAGACCGTGAAATGTCGATTCGTCGCCGTTCGCAGCAATTGGGTTTGTGTTATTCGACCACATGGAAGATTTTACGCAAAGATCTTGGTGTAAAACCGTATAAAATACAGCTCGTGCAAGAACTGAAGCCGAACGATCTGCCACAACGTCGAATTTTCAGTGAATGGGCCCTAGAAAAGTTGGCAGAAAATCCGCTTTTTTATCGACAAATTTTGTTCAGAGATGAGGCTCATTTCTGGTTGAATGGCTTCGTAAATAAGCAAAATTGCCGCATTTGGAGTGAAGAGCAACCAGAAGCCGTTCAAGAACTGCCCATGCATCCCGAAAAATGCACTGTTTGGTGTGGTTTGTACGCTGGTGGAATCATTGGACCGTATTTTTTCAAAGATGCTGTTGGACGCAACGTTACGGTGAATGGCGATCGCTATCGTTCGATGCTAACAAACTTTTTGTTGCCAAAAATGGAAGAACTGAACTTGGTTGACATGTGGTTTCAACAAGATGGCGCTACATGCCACACAGCTCGCGATTCTATGGCCATTTTGAGGGAAAACTTCGGAGAACAATTCATCTCAAGAAATGGACCGGTAAGTTGGCCACCAAGATCATGCGATTTGACGCCTTTAGACTATTTTTTTGTGGGGCTACGTCAAGTCTAAAGTCTACAGAAATAAGCCAGCAACTATTCCAGCTTTGGAAGACAACATTTCCGAAGAAATTCGGGCTATTCCGGCCGAAATGCTCGAAAAAGTTGCCCAAAATTGGACTTTCCGAATGGACCACCTAAGACGCAGCCGCGGTCAACATTTAAATGAAATTATCTTCAAAAAGTAAATGTCATGGACCAATCTAACGTTTCAAATAAAGAACCGATGAGATTTTGCAAATTTTATGCGTTTTTTTTAAAAAAAAAGTTATCAAGCTCTTAAAAAATCAGAAGCAGTTAATTTTAAAGAAATGGCGTGTCGTCCATTTCCGCTGTAACGTATGTAAATAGTGCATATATTTAAGCGCAATATTTAACTTCTTCTGGCGGGGTGACATCTAGAGTCTTCTAGTTGTATCTCTTTAATATGATGCCTACAACGACGTTGATATCCAGACTAGGTTGATATCTAGACTAGGTTGATATCTAGAATTTGCTATAAATAGCTTTGCTACATTTATAGTATAAATTGTGGTCTGGACACACAA